TTTTCCAAGATGGGTTTTCCTTCTTATATCCTTCATATTTTGTTCAGTTAACCTGAAAGCAGCGATCTTGATGGAATCTGAACATGGGTTTGTTTAAAGTTCATTTCTTTGTCACATACGTTCTTGGCTGGTTATGTTTTTGAGCTTGAAGCAAATATTTTGATGGATTAAAGACATATCCATGTTGTTTAAAGATCATTTCTTTTTCACACACGTGTGATCCTACATAGTTCTCTGCTCTTTAAATTTAATTGTGGAAGCTAACTGATAACTCATCCTATTGGGATTGTTTCACCTCAGCGTTGAATTTTGATGATAGTTCTTGTATTTTAGATCTTGGTTTCTAAATAATCTTGAATATAGCTAACTAGAACATTTTCTGGCCTTTCTCACATTTCTTAAACAGGTTTTAATGGATATAGGTTATGCTTATGCACTGTTGGGTGTCGGTTTTTGTTTTTTGCATCTGAAGAAGAGTTACATAACTGGTTTTTGCAGTTCGGAATAGTAAGATGGCTAGACAGGCCAATACTCTTATCCTTGAGAATGGCTGGGGAGCATTAGTGGTAGTAGCAGCGACACTTCTGCAGACCAATTTTCTACTTCATCTGGCTGTGCCATCATTCAATCATGGGCTGAGCTCAGAGACTGCCTTCAACACCTATCATTCGAGTCCCATCACTTTCTGTATTTGAAAATTCTTCTTGATGCTCCCACATCCGTTTATGTTGCTGACCCCCCAAGCGAAGCTCCTAGTTTCAATTTTATCCTCTACAAACCTCGTGATTCCCCATGAAGCATATCCTCTCCTTCTCCGGATTCTTTATATCTGGGTCAGAAAGTCATTAAGACCCTCTTCTGTACTCATTGATTCGGCTGAGGTGTCCCTGTCTCATCTTTTAGCTATTGAATTTGGTTCTAAGAAGAGCCCCGAGTTTCTCTCTGAAAGTGCACTGCTTCTAGGTGCCTTTTCTTCTGTGCTTTCTGTATCAGAATCCTCTAAAACAGTCTGCTTGGAGTGGCTCTGTAGGTTGTTGGAGGATGAGTGCAGATTGTTTAGTCACTTAGGCAGGGTCATTCCAGATGTTCTTGCAGGTATAGGGTATGCTCTATGTTCTTCTGCGGAAGTTGCAAATATTTGCTTAAGAGATTTTTCGAAGACAGACTGTTCCATTTGCTATTGTCATGGCTGCAGCTGGTGTTCTGAGAGCATCGAATAGATCTCCACCAAGTGGTCAGGGATTGTTAATTCTTTCCATCCTAAGGGTTTCTGCGGAAAATAGGATAGTCTGTGGGACAAGGTTTTATTTCTAAAAGTAGAGACTTAGATAATTCTGGTCATGATTATACGACCAGTCTTCTGCTTCAGTGCATTTAGTTAGCTTTGGCTCGGAGTGGTTCAGTGTCTTCCCGACCTTCTCTGCTTGTATCCCTTACTTCAGCATTATCAACAGAGATATTTCCCTTAGAGCATGTATATCAAAGTATTCTTGAGCCAACACATGATCAACTGGACTTGGAGGCTGAAGATTAAAGAGCGTTAAAGCAGTGTAACTCTTACGGAAGAAGGGGCAACTAGTGGTGTTTTCTGCAATCAACACATTTCAGTAGACGAGGAGGGAAACGCTATAGTGGAAAATATGGTACGGCGATTCTGCAAAGAACTCTACTCTGGGCATCGGCAGGTGGCTTTCTTGCTGCATGGGAAAGCAGATGTGTTGCTTGAGGATATATATAAAACTGCCGAGCCTGTTTTCCTTATGGTTGTAGTGTTTGCATTGGCTGTTACGAAGCAGAAACTAAATTCAAAATTCTCAACTGAAAGTCAGGTGGACATATCTATCTTGATACCAGTTTCATTCTCCTGTATCATTGAGCACTTGTTAATCGCGGTTTAGAAATCAAAAGTCGTGGCTACTTGAAGTTTTCCCGTTTTAAAGGTATTTTTGAAAAAGTTTAAATATTTTTTATTTTTTTCTTTATTTCAAATTAATATTTTTCTAATATTTTTAAATTATTTTTATTTTATAATATCAAAAACAATTTTTAAAAAATAAAAAAACCTTGAAATGTTAATCAATGGGGGGATGCTTTCCTAAAGTTGATTTTGACTTTTGATGCTTGAAAATGGGGTGAAAAAGAAACTCTCAACTTCTATGCTTATTACAGAAAAATGGCTCTGTTGCTGCTACAGTGATTCATAAAGTTTCACACAAAGAATGGCTACATTGAAAATGAATATGATGCTTCTTAGAAAGGTATAGCATGCTTATTCTTTATGAATTTTACATAGCGATCATGGAGAGGGCTGGTTCTATATTCTACTCCAGGCATTACAAAAAGGAATGGGAAGGAATCCTTGTAATGATAACAGCACCCTCCAAACAAGCAAGGCTGGAAAGAAAAAGAATTTCAAGTAACAAGGGACAACTCCAATATAATTTATCTTCAACAGCAAAGGGGACAGATTATCAGCCCATTCTCATTACAATCCTGGCAGATACTTGGCAACCCATTTTCTACAACAACCTTATGGCTGCCATTGCAATGGAAACAAAGCACAAACCTAAATCCAGCACATCCTTCACATGGTGAACCAATGAATATATCAATCGGAATCCCTTCAAAGAGTACTCTAAACCTGCCTTGTTCATGCAAAGCCAAAACCTCCTCAGCTCCACCTATATATCTCCCCTTAATGAAAAGCCTTGGAGGGTTCACCCTGCCATCCAAAACCCTCCATAACTCCTCCTTAAACTCCATGTGCATTGACACATCCCTTTCGAAAAATAGTACCCGAAAACTCTCTAAGAGAAAGCGAATGCTATTACAATCCTCAAAAGTTTTTCTGATCCCTCTAAGTGATGTTGTGTAGAGAATTACTGAGTCACTTCCACCTGGTGGACACATCTCTGGGAAGCCTAATATAGGGTCAATATCATCACCTTCCTCAATTCGACGAGCCTTCAATGGTGGTTCTTCTTCCTGGTTTTCAAAATTCTTCTCTGGTTCTTCTCTCATTCTTTCAAGATTCTCTTTCTCAATTCTTGCTCGTCTCTCCTCTTCACTCACTCGCATATGCTCTTTCACTGCTTCTTCAAAGGCAGACAACAAATTCGGGTCAAAAAGGCTCCCGGAATTCAAATCCGGTCGCCGGAAAGATGAGATATCAATCTCTGACAGCGGGGATTGCCTAAAATTAGACCCTTTTGACTCCTCCTTATCTTTAACCCCAAAAAGATCCACTCTTGCCTTCACTACTGGCCTGACATTTTCCTTATCATCATCGACCTCCATTTCCTCATCCTCCTCATCAAGATCTCTCATAAGCTCATTTACATCAATAACATCTGATTCTTGATTAACAACAAAGCTGCTATCTTTAACCTTTTCTTGCTCCACTTCTTTGCATACCATCACCTCTGGGGTTTCAGCTTGAGCTTTGAGAATCGGCTTCTTTATGAACGTCTCGATGAACCCATCTGCTGCATTCACTTGAAGAACTCTGGTTTCCTTCAAGTACCCAATTGGCTTGATTGACTTGAGCTTCTTCATCAACTTCCCTTTCATCATTCCCTTCATCTTTTCCGCTCCTTCAAATTTGGGTATTCAAAATTTGATACGGAGACGTAGATAAAGATGTGTACAAGAAGATTCGAAAATGATCAAGAATAGAGACAAATTTCTCTCCTTCTGGTTCACTTTGATAGAGATGGAAGAGAGGGTTTTCAGCCTCAACGGCTATCAAGCTGTTTATGACTTTAAAAATTCAAAAAAAAAAAAAAAAAAGAGGTTGTGCGGGGGCAAAAGGGGAGGGATTCTATGAGGTGAGACAAGAAGTAGAGTATCTGCAACCTATCTATATCAGTGAGTGATGTGTATATCTCCATGTGATGAAGCTTGGTGGGGTGATGATTTCCATAGTGCAACGGTCATAATCTATGTCATGGGCCTACTTCTTTGCTGGCCTTCGGCCTTTTCTTGAGTATATTCATCATGCTTTATGTGCCTTTCCCACCTTCCTTTTTCGAAGTGAAATTACAGGGGGGCAAGAGGTAAAGGATAAGATTGTAGTTATTAGACTTGAAATAAAACAAATTTGAGTTCTTGGGCGGCCAAGTCAATTATTATTTTTATAAAAATAACTTCATTTTTTAAAATTATTTCTTTTATGTTGACTGGTTAGGTTCGGTTAAGTTAATATCATTTCTTATTCAAATTGAAACTCAACCTGTTTTTCTAACTAATCCATTAGTAAGTTTAATAATTATAAATAAAATTAAAATTAAAAAAATAGTTCTGAACAAATAATAATAGTTGAATGGGAAAACAGTAATAAATCTCATATGGGTTGAAATGTATTTAATATTTATTAGTGATTTAAGAAGAGATATTTTTAAAATTAGAAGTTTCCATTCTTTAAAAAAAGGTGTTTTATGAACCCATCATCCACGGGGAATAACAAAAGTTTTCTAAGAATATAAAATAAAATTTAAATATTCAACAAGTTGTTTGGAGCCCACTAACAGGGGGTTTGATGGGTAGTTAGCCATGTTTCTGCAGAGGGGCCCATTCGAGCTTGTGATGTCTCATTGTACTGGGCTAGGCCCTCTTATTTCATGCCCAGAACTTAAGAAAAGGAAAAACCCTAAAAAGGAATTATTTTTATTTTTATTTTTATGTAAAAGAATCCTTTTTTCATGGAGTTTTACACAAATAAAGAATGTGGTATTTAAATTATCTGAATTAACCAGATTCAACAAAGGCGAGACAAGAAGCATAACTAAAAAATAAAAATAAAAATAAAAATCCATAATAAATTAATCGTCAATCACAAGTAAATGAAATACAAAGTAATGAATATCGTTGAAGTAATGGGATTTTTTGGACATGAGAAATTGTGAAAAGGGAGGATTTTGTTGCCATATATTTCTTGATTGGGCTACTAGCAGCAGCTATTATTAGTCCTTTGGTCAGTTACACAGCCTTGAATATGGTAATATCTCCCACCACCTTCAGACATCTTCCTCTCTACCTCCTCCAAATTCCTCACTGCTCTGTAACGGTACCTGGAGCACAAACCTTCCATCTCCCTCAATGGCTCTGCAAAGACATCCTTGCATTGCAATACTGTTTGCACAAGCCATTATTGCAACATTTGATGCCACTTCTGGTTTAAGGTACACAGTGGGAGGCTCTGTCTGGTCCATCCCACCGCATCCTGATTTTTACTACAACTGGTCCTCCTCTCATACTTTCTATATCGGTGATGTCTTAGGTATGTATCACTAACTCTTATGTCCATTGCATCCATCAAATTAAAATTGTTTCAGTGAGTCAGATTCGCGTGATGATTTCTCGTTCCCATCCGCGCAACACGTAAAATACATTTTCCAGTGTTTTTTTTTTTAATTTTTCTATTAGGAATCGATGATGGATGATCATTGTTTAAGGAGCATCTATCATTTTTAGTTAATTTTCTCGGCTGCAGTTTTTGACTTTGAATACGAGTTCTTCAATGCGATACAAGTGCCAAGGCTAGACTACGAGAGCTGCACTGCTCTTAATCCAATGAGGATCCTTACAAGAAGTCCAGCAGTGGCAATATTAATTCATGAAGGTGTAAATTACTACATTTGCAACATCTCGAATTACTGTGATCTAGGCCTAAGATTTTCGGTTGTGGTCCACAAGTTTTACTATTCTACAGGGCATTCACCAGTACCACCTCCAACCTTGAGTCCATATCCAGCACCTGGACCATCTCAAGCTGGGTGGACTGATGTATCACAACCTTCTGTACCTAACAATAGTCCAATAGCTCCTAACGCTGGAAGAAGAAAGGGATTGCGTGCTAATTCTGGTGGAACGGTTGTTGGATTGGCTTGTGCGTTATGTTTAGGGACGTTGTTTGTGTTACTTTGATTCTTTAGTGTCTCCTTCATTTAAGCTAACATCTTTTTATATATTAAAAAGATTGAGAGTGGAAAATCTTCTTCATTTTAAATTCCTAGAGCGGATTCCTGAAGCTCTAAATCAAGACTCTCTGTGGAAGCTAACAAATCCTATCCCAGGATGGACTCATAATCTCCTTGACATTGCTGAAACATGTGATTAATCAAATGGTTTGTATGAGATTCGAGCACATATCTTCCACATATTAAAGGTGTATGGCAGCTAGTTCATCACCTGGACCATAGCAAGGTGGGTGGATTAATGTGTCGCAACCACCGGTCCCTCGTAGTAGTCCCATGGAACCACACAGTCTCACAGGTTCATGTTGTAACTCAGGCTAGTGGCTTCCGCATTTTGCTGTAAGGGATGTTGTTTGTTCATGCTAGTTGAGCAACATCTCAACATCTAAATTTTAAATTGATAAAACCTGGTGGACTTGTCGATCAACGCAACTCATGAGCCCGAGTTGCCAGTATTTATAATGTCAAATTAGGAATGTTCAAAATTTGACTATATATATATATATGTTAATTAACTCATTAATTATGACGGTAATCAAGTTCAGGATACTAGTTGCCAAGCGCACTAGTTTAAAAATAACAATTTGATTCTATGCAGCATCATGCTTGTAAAATACTCCAGCATTAATTGACTTTTTCCTAGTAGCAATATGCATCAAGTAATATCCTTCATGCTTCCAAGGGCCAGCAATTTTAATATTCAAATCTATGAATTGTATTAACTTCACTAGAATGGAACTAGTTCACCAGGTTATTGTTCTTATTCTAATCAGGCATCATGTGGTGGATGTCATATGAGGGATCTTTCAACAAACGAACAGTAATTGGTTGAAAATTATATTTCAATGTTCCAGGACAAAAAATCAGAGTCGCAAGTCACAATCTATGTCCTTGTCTCACCTCTGCTGCGCAAAGAGCAGTAATTGGTTGATAATGAATAATGAACAACTGCATTCGGGACAAAATAATGAACAACTGCCGGTCAGAATCATGTGTTGAAGGTCTAATTTCGATTACTGTGTATGCGCAAATGAATCATTGTATTAGTCAGAGTCTGTCCATGGCATTTCGGTTGCATCCTTGCATCTGATGGATTGTGTTTTTTTACAATACTTAGCTTTATTAGCTTCAAAACTTTGTAGTTTGCACAATTACAATGGTCTGAAGAAAATTTCTGCAGTCAGAATAAGTTTTCCAGCAAAACCTCTTAATGCACAAACCATAGAAACCATGTACCAAAGAATTCTCGCTGAGGTGGCCTGGAAGGCGAGTTTCGACATACGGGGCAAGTAGTATGCAGCTTGAACCATGGATCAATGCACCGTGAATGGAAAAGGTAATTACACTCAGGCAAAAGTAGCATCAAGTCACTATCTGTCTAGTGCAAATTGAGTTAATCTCAAACTTGATTGGTTTCCTAGCGTGTCAAGCTCTGGAAATATTGAGTTTGATGCGAGTTAAATTCAGATGTTTTTTGTATAGTCAACCACGTTCAAAGAAACATGGACGAGTCAGTCAACTAAGTCTAGAGTAATGTGAGTCTGACAAAAATATCAAACCTAGTGCACTTAAACTTAACAATACGTCAAATACATAATAATATGGGCCTCACAAATATGTCAACCTAATATAATTGAATTTAACAATCTATCAAGTCAAGACAGCATGGGTCTAGTAAAGATACTAAACCCAAAATATTTGGACTCGATAATTAGTCAAATTCAAGGTAACAAACCTCCTTCTTTGACATATCCAGGAAAATAACCAACCTTCCTTAGGTCTTATCTTGGGAAAGAATTCATTCTTTATACATTTAGCTATATTTAACATTTTAAACTTTAATCTCTCTACGCTTTTATAAGTGTATAAAAATTATATAAGAACCCATTATATTCTCATTAAACATTAGTATAGATGTAAGAGATATTTGTCTCTCATTAGATACTATCAAGGTAAGATTATACTCACCCTCTTTTTTACAAAAATACAAGACTCATGAGTTATAAATATATCATGAGACCTACAAAATAAAGGTTCACAATCTTAATTTTTTACTGCATATATATTTTCAAAACATCTTTCTCTAGAATATTCTTGTATTTTCTCTCTCTAAAAAAATATTTATTCAAGTATCGAAAAGTTTTACCTCCACCAAAAAGAATATTTTGCAGGTACTAATCACGAACAACTTTATAATACCAAGGACCAAGTATAAGCTAGGAAGAATGGAGAAGATTGTTACAATCAATTAATTAACCGATTATTCAACTTAAGAGCTCCAATGCCAAGCTATGATGTTTTGAATTAAAAGAGATAGGAAAAGGCAACAAAATCAATGGAGGCTTAAAATGTGGGTATAAATAAATGAGGGGTAGTGTGGTTATTGAATAAACATAATAAGTATAAATAGAAAAGAGAGAGAGAGAGAGAGAGAGAGAGAGAGATCTGAAATTAAGAGTGAAAAATTGACGAGAGAAAAGAAGAAAAGGGGAAGAAGAAGAAGAAGAGAAGAGGGAAAGATATGGAAAATAGAAGAAAATTAAAGAAAATAAGTTTAAAGGTAAGATTTAGGTTGTTAAATGTATAAATGTGTGTTCTTTGAGCTTTAAATTTTTATTTTGATAAGTGTTAGGGTTTTGAAGATTGTGTTTTGGATTGATTGATGAATTAATTTGAATATTATCAGTTGTTTAGTTGATTTTAAAAGATTTTAAGTAAAGATAATGATTTTGAGTTATGATTTGTGTTAATGATGAATTTTGAATTAGAAATTTTAAGATAGCAGTAGGTTTTCTATTAAAATTTTGGCTTTGAGGTTGAAGATAATAAAATTTTGGTTGGGTCCCTTTAATTTGTGAAAATTACATTTTAGTCCCTTAACTTTTAAAAATTTACAAATTAGCCTCTGAAGCATATTCAGATATTCTGGACAGAATAAAAGATGAATTATGGGCATAATTAAAGTATAGTTATGAATTTTTAACGCTTTCAATTTGGTCCTCCCATTTGACAAAAATCACAATTTGACCGTAAAATTTTGAAAAAATTATAGAATAGTCCCTGGAGCATAATTAGAGATTTTGGACATAGCCAATGATGAATTATGGATAGAATTCCACTATATTTATGAATTTATGATTATTTGGTCCTCTAATTTGACAAAGTTACAATTTGACCCTTAAAATATGATAAATTACATATTGGTTTCTAGCTATAATATTAGCTTTTTCAGATTATTTTGATGAATAATTGAGGTTTATTTAGTGAATTATTATCAAGTCTTATTATTTTTTTATTATGGAATAGATTTCGGGAAAACCGTTAATTTTTGGGTCTTTATGAAAAATAACTAGTTAGTTTAAAAATATATAGGGTTATGAAATAGATCCTTAGTTAAGTGTATTAAATAGATTGTATATTCGTTCGAGTTGTTTTTGAATATGTCTCCTTTATATTTTGATAATTTTGATATTTTATCGGTAGGACATTAATAGGATTTCCTTTGGCATTTGCTTTTGACAGCCATTTGCTTTCGAGTCAGACAAGTAAATAATTTTTTATATACATGAGAAATATTATAAATATTTGATTTATTAATATGAATTGGATAATGCTTTTTGATAATAAATATGTTGATTATTATCTTTATTATGATAAAACATGATCAATTGTTGAATATAAATTCTTGATATGAATCAATATATATATTTTGAATTGACTTCTGAATTGATAGCTTCTTATTTTATCGATGTCATGAGTTGAGACTTGAGATATGAATATGTTTGTTTAATTATGATTATAAATCTATAGTATACTGGTCAGAATATCCATATTAACAGGATAATGTTAATCTTTGTGCATATTATATCTGAACTCTATTTAGTCAGGGTAGTTACATGTGGATTAATAATCTCACAGTACAGAGCCTCATGCTTATTGTATTTTTATTTTCTAAGAAGCTTTACTATATGATATTTTTGTTATAGCTTATTTAAGAAACCTTTTTATAAGAACCTAGAACTATATATATATTCCTCATTGTTATATTACCTCGTGTGTGTGTGTCTATTGAATGTTATCTACTCACTGAATTGTTGAACTTATCATTTTATTATTTATTCTTTTTAGACTTATAACTTGATAGCAGGTCATTTTTGTTGACCTTTAAAACCTACTTTTTTTTGTTGTAATTTAGACATTTTCTTTTATGTTTAATTAGTGCTCCACAATTATGAATTTGTATTAACTCTTGTATTAAAATAATTAAATTATTATGAAGTTAGTTTTGTTATTAATGTTATGTTGAACTCTGATATATTGACTTATTTGAAGGATAAGTTTGTATATAAATTTAAGTTTGCATAGATATGGCGCCTTGAAAAAAAAAATCTTATTTATATACTAGTTATGAATCTAGAAATTGGATCATGACACAAGCTAATTGAATTTTTAGAAAATCATCACCGGCTTAGTCTCTTAGTTTTTCCATCATTCTTAGGAAACCCTTTTTGCTTCAAACCTTGTTAGTTTCATTTGGCGGCCATCGATGACACATAACATGAAGCAAAATATGAGCTGATCTGAGAGTTGTCATATGTTCCACATCCGATTTGACTGTCTAAATTAAATCCCTACATGATTGCCATAAACATCATGTTAAAATCTCTGTTATACTGTAGAGAATTACACTACTTTAATATCTGCACAAAATGTCTAAAAACACTAGAAAACCTCAGATTGACCCCACAAGAAATTGGAAAAACTAAGATGCAATCTCTTGAATCAATAACTGCTCACTGCCAATGGTGCCTCTTCAGCAAGAGGAGCCGACAAAGTGGTTGGCATAGGAGATTTCCGACAAATCGGACATGTAGGATGCAGCCTTAACCAACAGTCCACACATTTGAGATGAAAAACATGGCCACAATCAGGCAACAACCTTATCATGTCGCTATCCTTGTAGTCCCCTAAGCATATAGAGCAGCAAGAAGGTAGTAAATCATTACCCCTGGGTTCTAACCTTGCTTTTGAATAGGGCAACTTGGGGTAGCTTGCAAGACTGGCTTCGTTGAGACCGAGTTCCGTCACAATGGAGTCATGGTCAGTGATGAAGTCGCCTTGGTTTGTAGCTGTGTGTGGGGGAGAATCTACTCCACGGGTGCAGAAATACGCGGCCAGAGTTATGCTTAAGATCAAAAATAGGACACCTGAAGACATTCCGATAGCATATGCGTATCCATTCATACCTGAGGAGCCACTGTATTCCGTGGAGTTGTCCATGTTTCTTGAACTATTCAGCTGTGTTTAGGGTTTGATCTATAGGATTAAGTATGTATAGAGGGAGATATGGGAAAGGAGAGAGGGATGGAGAGTTGGAGAGAGAAAGAAAGACGAGTAAGCTCTGACAATATTAGGAAGTACTTTGTACCTGGAGATTGTTTGGTAATTCTGAAGTTGTGGAGTTATTACCTGGCATTTGTCAACGTTTCTGTCACTATTATGGGAAAGATTCATGATTTTTGGTCCAAGCGTTATCCTTTAACAGAAATTTCAATGTGAATATAAGCATTGTTTATTTGACAAACAAAGATCTTGTGAAAGCAATAAATACTGCCGTTTTTTCTTAGAAATATGAGGTTCTTGAGTCATCCCAAGTGAATTGGCAGCGAAAGGTCAAATTTCGAGCAGTGTGGCTCGCAAAAAACTTTCTAGTTTTCCATAGAATTTGGGACAGGAGAAAATTTCTTTCTGCTGGTCTTTTCCCTGTTTGGGCAGAGTAACCCTAAACCATCAAGGCCAGAGTAGGATAAGAGGTGCTGAATTCGTGTTTCGTCACCGAGGTGTGGATGTTGATTGTAAGAACTTTGTGTCATTAGCAATGTCATACCAAAATTGACTGGAACAACATCGTTGTTAGTCCAGTTCTGGTAACATGGGAATTGCTACATGAGCAACCAAAAAACCATAGTAACCAGTTCTTAGCAAGAGGGACAATGAATAAGAACATCACCTATTTTTTATTATTTTTGACTTATGATCAAACTAAACCACATACAACACAAATCACGAATCCCACTTGAGTATACCGTTCCCAAATTCCATGCTACATATGGTATCCTCTCAAAAGTTCAGGATTTTGCCACAGAAAAATTAAGAACATAGTCAGGAAGAGTTCAATGCAGAGCAACAAAACGACAAGCTCTTTAGCTATTTTGAAAACAAGGGAATTTCTGTTTGTCTGTCTCATGCTAGAACAATGTCTAGAAGCGAAGTAAAACCCGAACTTTTACCCTAAATCCAGCCTAAATTAACTTAATTATATAAGAAAAAGTTACAAGTTTCCTCTCTTTTAATTCGAAACTCTTTTAATTCTTATGGCTGCCGTAACCTTCCTCTCTTCAAACCAAAAATTTTAATTTTTTATTTTGCATTTCTTGTTCAAAAAAAGTAAAAATAACAAGTAAATTATCTTTTTATATTAATTTCAATTATAATTTGTTTATAAAATGATTAAAAAAGATATTAGGGTTTATAAGAATTAGAAGTTTATATTGTTAAAATTGATTTGTGATTATTAAGGATTTAATGTTAGGTAATTGATTAGTATGTTGTTAGAAATAAGAATTTATAAGTTGATTTATTTAAATTAATTTTTACGGGATTAAGAAATTTATTTTAACCTTACTGAAAAATCTGAACAAAATGGTCTTAAGATTGAAGATGATCAAATTTTATTTTGGTCATTCATTTATAAAAATTTAAGTTTAGTCCCTAAACTTTGAAAAAATTAGAAAGTGACCTTTAAATATATTTTGAGATTCTAGAAATTGTTATTATGAGGTTAAGGATGATAAATCTCAGTTTGATAATTGATTTGAAATATTTTAAGTTTGATCCCTTAATTTTAGTAATTTACATTTTAGTCCTAAACTTTATAAAAATTATAGTTCGGTCCCTATTTCATTCTATATAGAATTAAGGGTGGTTTATGAGTGGCATTTCATTACGATTATGTATTTATAGTTTGGTCCTCCAATTTTAGTAAAATTACATTCTGGTCTCTGTTTTGAAAAATTATCGTTTTAGTTCCTAAACGTAGAAGATTAAACCTAATTTTCTTTTATGCATTGGAATATTTTATTTGTATTATTTTGAATTGCTCTTGAGTATATTTTGTATATTTGTTGTAAGTTCTTTTAAAGATCCTCAATAGATTTTTCGGTTATTTTATCTGAAATTTCTTTTAATCTATATTTTTTCAAGTGAGTAAGATAATATTTAATATGCATATAATATAAATATATATATATATATATATATATATATGTTGATTATACGATGAGTAGTACTAGTTAATTTATTGAATATTTATATATGTTTTTTTATTTTTCGAGTACTCATTTATTCTTGAATTGCACTCGTATTCCGTCAAACTAAATTCTATTTGATATGATATATATTTTTTTGATGATCATGTGTATACCTATTATATCTTGATGTAGGACTTGTCAGTAACTCCATACTAACAAAGAGTAATTAGATTATGTGCACATAGTCATCTTCGAGTTTTATTTGGTCATCTTCAAGTATCATTTGATCTCTTACATGTATTCCACTACTTTATGATAATATGTTTAGTTTATATATGTATATCAAGATAAATTGACTTATAAACTATTAATATCTAAAATATATATTAAATGTTATTTTCTCAATGAATTGGTTTAACTCACCCCTTCATTCTTAATAGTATTATAAGTTTTTAATTTCTAATAGCAGGTAAATTTTGTTAAGTGTTCTTGTTTCTTCAGTTTTAATCAATATGTCTTATTTATTTTGCAAGGTTTTCCTTTTAGTTTTGATTTGATGTTTTAGATACTTTATTGTTAACTTGTTTTAATTAAGTTTGGATTTTGACAATATAATAAATATTATAAATTATTGCTTTTATTTTAATTATTGATGAGAAATTTTAAACTATTTTTTGGTTTTATTAGTTTTAATAATATAATATTTTTAAAAATTATAAAATGTTACATATTTTTTAATAACTTACTTTTTTAATATATCTGTTCTGTTCTGAAAGTTATTATAGGTAAATTGTTCTTTTAACATGACTCCTACATTACCAGCGATTCGGGATGGCAAGCTATATGTTTTTTTTCCACCACAAAGATCTCTTAAATAGTCCAAAACAGTACCAGTTAACCAATGGATTAAATTCTCTCTACCAAGTAACAAAGAAACCACAAAGTGTAATGAAAGTTGCCTGGGTTGGTCACTTTCCCTGGTTGGAATTTACGAGGAGCTTCCTGCCATCCAGATGAGTCAATGTAGACTTTAACCTGCAGAATGCCTCTGTGAGCGACAAGGCGTGCTCAGCACATATGACTTGAACTTCCCTGGTTGGAATTTATAAGAAGCTTCTGGCTATCCAGAATAGTCAATGTAGACTTTTAACCTGCAGAGGACCTCTATAAGCGACAAGGTGTGCTCAACGCATAGGAATTGAACCCAAGACCTCACTTCCACTCATTTGAGTGAAAATCATGACGCTAAACATCATTTGGTGGCCAGCTTGAAGGTTGATTACTAGCTAGGTACCTAACCTCCATTTGTTGAGAAAAAGTAGGCACGGGCAAGTTCCGGCATATTGGGCATGTATGATTCAGGCATTCAGCCTTGACCAGATGTCCACACAATTAAGATGAAAAGTGCGGCATCAATGAGCAATAAACTTAACACATCACTGACTATATAGTCCCCCAAGCATACAGAACAGCAAGAATCTAGTGAATGGTTAACCTTTTGTTGAGACTTTTCTTGTGAATATAGCAACTTAGGATAGCTTGCAAGATTGGCTTCATCAAGGCCGGGATTAATTGCAACGGAGCCTTGGTCAGTAATGGAGCTGCCTTCGTTGCTGGGGGTGATGAGTCTAGAAGGATCTTGTATGCCATGGGTGCAGATGTAGGAGGCAAAATTTATGATAATGATCAAAAGTAGGATGCCAAAAGAAATTCCCATGGCACATCCTATACCACAAAAACTTGACTGATGACTCTGCTCGGGGGAGCTGTTCATGCTTCCTGAACTATTCAACTGTGCATAGGAGGGAGGGAGAAGTGGGGCTGTGAAATTTTAGATGTACAAGGTCTGAGTTCTGACAGTCTCTGGGAGTAACTACCTGGTGATTGTTTCAATGCGTGGTTCCCAAGTTATTTATTTGTCAATAGGTTACGTGTCTTTCATGGCACCAGGCACAAGCTATAACCTTTACCAAACAAATTTCAACTTGGGATATCAGAAAGACTATGAATTATTGTGAAATAAAGATTGTCAAATTGACTTGAAAGAAGCCTCCTGTGAGAACAATAGATGTCTTCCTAGAAAGTGTTCTTTGAATCTTTCCAAGTGAAATGCATATAAGAAGCCCTATGAAAGAGGCCACTTGATCAATAACTGAAGTTGAGGTTTAAGAAAAATGTTTTAGATAATTCCACTCTATTTGGGGCAGGAAGGAATTCTTATGGGTGAAAAATGAACAACTAAACCACTTCTGTGCGCATATAGGGTACAGGCGCACCCTATCTACCTGGATGGAACAACATAAACATTTTACATACAATAGCAAAAAAAACTGTCACGGATTTCTGTGTCCTTAAATTTGTCTCGAACCAAGACTGACTGAAAGAAACATCAGCACTCTCAGTCCAGTTCGGAAAGAGATGAACAGACTAATGAGTTCCGAAGGAGTTAAATGGAGGAATGCATAGAAACTCTCATCAATGCTCATGTGATTCAACGAACAACTTTGGCAAATATACACATCTTGCAAAGAGAGTGGCAGCAGAGAAAAGGCAGGTGGCAAGAACATGGGCAAGGTGCATGTGCTCAACGCATAGGACTTGGAAGAGCTACTTGTCGTTTGACTGGGTCAATATCATTCATCTAAAAATGGCAGTAGTTGCTTGAAAATTAAATGTATAATATTCAGGACAGCATGTTAGATAGTCAGAATAACAAATTTCAATCGTGTGATTATCTAATCTCAACTGAACAAAGAGCAGTAGTGGTTGGCAATGGCTTATGTTTTCTACAACATTAAGATAGAAATCATCTCAGTTAAAATATAGAGCTGTAATTAGCTACAAAACTTCGTGAAATTACAAGGATGCAAACAAAAGCTCTACAGTCATCACAAATTTGAGCAAAAAGTACTTTCAGTGCGTAAACTGTGCAAACCATGGATCAAAGAACACCCTGCGGGGTTCCCTGGAAGCTGTTTCGGTGACATTGCTTGGGATTCGTACAGGCTAGTTTCGACACATTGGGCAAGTAGTATGCAACTTCAACCACGGATCAATGCACTGTGCATGGAAAAGATGATCACAGTCAGGCAACAGCCGCAGCAACTCACTATCTTTATAGTCTGCCAAGCAAATCGAGCAACAGGAAGCAGCTACCGATTCATCACCCTTTTCAAGCTTTTCCTTTGCTTCAGAATAAAGCAGCTTTGGATAGGTATTGAGAGTGGCTTCATCCAGGCCTATTTCTATAATGACCGAGTCTTGATCATCTATGGACAAGGAACCATCATGATTAGAATGGCCTGCAGGTAATGGTTTCCTGGTGCAAAAATAATAAGCAAGAACGGCAATTGCTATTGCTGAAAGTACACCCATTGATATCCCAAAAATGAGAGCAAACCCTCCAAATCTTGGTGTGGATGACTCTATAGGACTACTGCTATTCATCTTCTTGAAATACCTACAGGGTTAGCTGGAAGTGCTTTTGTCTTGTAGAGGAATGGAAGGAAGTGAGGGCTTGAAAGA